AAACCAGTCTGTGATTCTATGATGCGTTCGTTTGCTTTGCTCTGGTCAATTGTTTGAAGTTAAATGTTGATGTCCAACGTGAGGAAAGCAGAGGTACGCAACGAACTAATGGCAAATGTAACTGTCCTGGGGTCACAGCGCTGAATTAGGAGCGTCTCGGAGTAGGAATGCTTTGCAAAGCAAAAGCTGAATTGGGCATCTTGCCTGGGTTTAATATAGCATGGGGTTTGCCATCGGACTGCTTTCAACTTGGGGTCCCGTGCCGAAATCGTGTTGGCTTTGTGTGTCTGGCTTAATGCACACTGAAGCTTCGTGTCTTGGGTGCTGCAGCACTCTTGGGTGGGAGATGAGCGCTTGCTGGTGAGTTCCCCTTGACCCAGCGGTTTGAGGCCTCTCTAATCGTGTCTGCTCCCTCCCAGACGATGCACCGTAGGACTCCCATCTCAGGTCCTTTCCCTTCCTTCTGCCTGTACGCTGCTGTCCCCTTCCCTGCCACACTGCAGGTCCTGTGGGGAGCTGGTACTGATCAGCACCTCATTGCAGGGGGTGAAACGTTCCCCGTTTCCAGAGAGATCACGGGATGCTCATTTCAGTGACCTCATGCAGAATAATTTTTTTCCCCCTGAATGGAAGGAAACGCACTTTCTGACCAGTTTCCATAAAAAATGGATGTGGTCCTTTTCCCCCCTCCTCCAAAACAAGGGAGAGCATCATCCACTGCTGTGGTGTTGTGAGAAAACCAGCAGCCTGCTGCTGAGTGGCTGTTTTGTGTTTCTAACGGAGCACATGTGCATCTTCAGGGAGAAAAGAAGAGCAAAAGCAGAAGAAATTTCTTCCTGGATGATGGGTGCATCGAGACCAAGGAAACCTAGGATTAACACTCCTCCTTTTCCTCTTTTCTCCCCCTTCTCATCACCTCCAGGGGTTTCTGCTATTTTAACTCCGTGGCAATTGCAGCCAAACTGCTCCAGCAAAGGCTGAACGTTAGCAAAATCCTTATAGTGGACTGGGTGAGTAAATGCCAGTTCTTACCCTCCAGGAGAGCAGGTGGACATTTTTCTGGGTTTGTTTTTATCTTACAAGGGCAACCCTGGCTTTGTAAGTCAGTGAATTTTTTGTAAGTCAGTCAGTGAATCAGCCTGATTGATTTTTATAGATTTCAAAATGTATTTATGGGGTTCTGAAGGCATTCGAGTTGCTGGGTATCGTCCAAGAGTTTTGATTAGATTGCCACAAATCTCCCATGGGCTAGGCCCACAAGTTCAAATGGATGCATTTGTCTTTTTGGCCAGCTGGATGGACATCCTTTTCCTCACTTCCCACCTTTTTTCATGTTGGGGAAAAAGGGCATTTAAACATCCGTTCTGCATTTCTGCACCAAGTAGCAGTGCAACAGGGGATCCGGGCAATGGGTTTGTCATTTAACCTCGTTGGGTCCAACACAGCTTTGGGCACTTGTGGTCATCCCCCAGACCAATTAAAGATGCATATTTGGGGCAACTGATACAGTCTCTTCATCCTCCAAAGTTGGGAGTGAGTCCAGTCCTCTCCATGCAAGTAAATCGATCCTGTCCTTCGGTTTTGATGTACGCTGGGGATTGTGTTTGCCCCGTTTATCCTGTTTGTTAAACAAGGGGTGTACCCTGAGGCCAGCTCTGCAAAGCAGGTTACACTCATTTGCGATAAACTGCTTCAGCTAGATCAGAGAAGCGGAGAAAGCAGAGCAGAACCACAAAGAAAACCCCTCCAAATCCCAAGTTGATGGCTTTAATCTGCATTTTTACTACGGTACTAACCTCCCTCATATAATGCAATCTCTGTCCCCGAAGGATGTTCACCATGGGAACGGTACTCAGCAAGCTTTCTACAATGATCCTAACGTTCTTTATATTTCACTACATCGCTATGATGATGGGAACTTCTTTCCAGGCAGTGGTGCTCCCGATGAGGTAAGAGCATGGATCGGCATAGCATCCATCCGTGTCTGATCGGACCTGCCCGTGGCTGTGAGTCAGGTGCTCGCCCAAAATCTCAGGGCGGGGGGATAGGCTTGGAGAGAAGCTCCTGCCACCGCTCCCACACTCGTGCTTGTTAGTGCCTCTTTGGGAATATGTCACCTGGGGTTTTGTGATTGGTGCCTTCTCATCCAAGTCCTGGCAGCCGTGGGCATCGTGTCCTGCCCCGTGGGCTGGCAGGAGAGTGCGCACCTTGGGTAACGAGCAGAAAATGAATCAGTGCAATTAGGCATCCAGCCCTTTTGGGAGAACCTGTTCCAGAGGAGCCCTTTGCCAGCTGTCCCAACGCTCCTTGTACTTCTCAGGATTTCCCCCTTATAAGGTAGATGCAGGAGGAGAAGGTTGTTCCTGGCTGTGCCACCAGCGCCTGGGTTTCCTGGCACAGTCTTGGAGCCCATCCCTCCCCCATTCTCCTGGCCCCGCCAAGGCATCGCTCGCCGTCGCTGATGTTGCTGGACCAAATCCACCGGTTCTTGACGGTGTCCTCAGGGCCTGCAGCAGAAGGGCTGGGCCAGCAAAGGTGGGAGACCTTTCTCCCTGAACCTGATGGATGAACCTTTCTCCCTGAACCCTGACCCTGATGGATGCTCCTACATCCCGCATCCTTCCTTTCCCTTTAGGTTGGTAGGAAACATGGTCCTTCCAGAGTGATTTATTCAAGGGAAATTACATTAAATACTAAGCTTTTTGTACTCTGAGGCATTCCAGATTACATCTGAAAACTCCCAGAGTTCTTGCCCTGTATTTTACAGTTTCCCTTTCAGCAAACACCGATTTCTAAAGAAACTCAAACGTGAGGTGATGCTGCTGCTTTGCCCTGTTTGTGTGCTGCTGCTGTTGTGACCAAACAGCAGCCCTTTGCATCAGGTTTAATTTCTGCTTCAGGATATGCAAAGGTCTCAGACCTACTTTTTGCTGACTTTTTAATAACTCAGTAATCTGGCTTACAAAATTGTACGGAAACTACCATCCACTCCGCATTTACCATTTATAGTGATTTTTAGGTGTGTCATTCCAGACCAAATAGAAGAAAGAATACAAAATAAACACAATTAAAGCTGCAGATGGATAAATAACCCACCGTGGATGGATGGATGAATGTTTTCTACCAGCACCATTTGCACCAATACAAGGAAGAATATGCAATAAGAGCCCTGCAGTGTTATCTAGCCTGAATTATCTGGCTGTGTGTTGTGTCACACATTAATTTTCAAGACTTTTTTTTTTTCCCCCTCCCTGTATGCAGAGACCTAAAAAAGCCACAAAAAATGAGCTTTGTGTGTAGGAGCTGCTGATGGCGGCAGATCCTGCCCAGCTCCCTCGCTGTCCCCAGGGACCCGCGCCCCACACTCGCGGCCGCTGTGCTCAGGCAGCTGCGAGGTCCCCCCTTGGCAAAGGGGCTGAACAGAGGCTTTTGGGTTTCCATACGGATGGGGAAAACATGGCCTTGCTCCTTGGCAAATGCATTACTGGGAACCCCTGGTTTATTTTTCCACTTTTCCCCTTTCTCAGGTATTTGCGGTCAGTGCAGGTGGGGACGTTTGCAGTACGTGTGAGGATGGGGATTTACTTACATTTACCGCCCACGTGTCCCTCAAAGCAGTGAAAATCTCTTCTCTGTGAATCATATTTTTCCCCAGCAGAGGGGGAGCTCGCTCTGATTTAAACTGTGGGTTTTTTCCCCTGGTTGCTAAGTTAATGAAATATAAAATATGCTTCTGAATAAAGCTGAAAATGAATGAAGGAAAGCTGTTGCATGTAACCCACTCTCCTGCAAAAGAGGAAGAGGATCCAGTTGACAACGAGGTGTTTTTTGGGTGAGCAGCAGTCAAACACTGCTGGTCCGCTGCTCCCATGAAGATCTGAGCATGGAGGAGCTTTATTTCCACTCTTGTCTTGGGGTTTGGGTCACTCTAGAGAGAAAAATTAACCTGGCTACCACCAAGCTATTAAAGCAAAATCTATGTTCAACTGGAAGTGTAGCAAGACAGCAGAGATATGTCACAAGTTTGTTGTTTCCATGCCTGTATTTAAAAATACCATCTCCCTTTTTCAGGTTGGCACAGGAGCAGGAGTTGGTTTCAATGTTAACATGGCCTTTACTGGTGGCCTTGATCCGCCGATGGGAGACACAGAATACTTAACTGCTTTCAGGTAATATTGAAGTTTTCCTCTTAAAAACGTATTTTTTCACCTAAACTGGGCTTCTTTTTCTTCATGCAGTCCTCCTTAATCTTGAGTTTCCCTCTTGATGAGTTTAGAAATGCAAGATTTACATCTAGTTGCAGTTACTTTCTGAGTACCATAACAAAAATAAAGCTGAATTAAGTAAATAGGATATTACTGCCTGTAAGAAGTGGGTCTGTGCCATTAGGGGATTGACATACTCGCTGCTCAGCACCGATTGATGCATGAATCGAACATGTCTACTGATATGAATAAGCTCATCTGGTTTTGGCTAAAAAAAAACTTGTTTCCTTTTTGAGGTGAGTATTTCTATGGGTAAACCCTCCGGGGTGGGGAGGGGAACCCAGAAAAACTTTTGTAACAACTCATCGTGAGTTGAAACGTGGGAGTGCAGCTGCCCCGAGGCTTGAGAGGTGGCACCCAACTCCTGGGCGAGTTGGCCACGCAGTCCCTCCCTGCGGGAGCACTGCTGACAACTCCCACCCCAGCTCACTCCTAAGAGTACCTGGCGAAGGAAAACGGGCTGGTTTTGATAAACTTCAGGGTTTGTTATTATTATTCAGCCCAAATACTGAATATGCCTGTTCCAACCAACTAGAAATTTAACTGACGAGTCTTGAGTTGGGTTTTCTTACTCGGTTCTGGTTTCTCCCCAGAAGCAGCATGTTGTGTGTTGCAAATAAAGAATATAAGCCTCTCTTAAATAAGTGTTACTCATCGCTCAGTGTCGATGTGGACGAAAGTAAGCAAAGCTGGGGAGTTGAATTAATGTGCTGCTGGGATATCCTCCGTGATGAGCAGCAGTAGTATTGCCAGATATGAACCACTGTGCTGGGTTGGACAGGCATATTCAAGCATGCTCCAAAAAAAATGACATCGTTTAAGTCTCCAAACGGAGCAGGGGATGAAGCATCAGGGGTTGAATATCATCTTACTGCTCCGAGTAGCTAATCTGGGCAAAATACCCCAGTAGGTTGGTGGTACATCACTGCTGTTCTGGGGACTTGCTTAAAGCCTGGGGTGATGCCTTCGCCTCCCAGAGCTGGAGAGAACGGGAAAAGGAAGGTATTGAAATGAGCTATGGAAGCAACAGGATAACAAGGTGGAACGAATTTGTGGGAAGAGGAGAACTTGTGCGCAATGCAGACGTGAACAGATGCAAGAGTGAGACCACCCGTCCCTTTCTGATACTCTCTTCAGAAGAAAGAATGTAATTCTCTGAGCTGCTGCTTATATAGGCCTTATTTTCCTTAGAGGCTGTCCTGTTCCACCCCCTGCCTCCCCCGAGCTGTGGGTCCATCCTCTCCAACTGGCATCTTTTTGAACGATTATGGGTTGAAGTGGTTTTCTGTCCTCAGACCAGATTTAGTGCACTTCTGGCAACCGCCCCGCATAAATTCAGGGAGACGCGCACTTGCCAGAACACGGGATGGGAATTTCTGGTGACAGGCAGATGGAATATCGCCTCTGTGGAATAGCATTAAATCTGGGAGTGCTATTTTCTGTTCTTCCCTTGCGCCCGTATTTGTATTCCATTACACTGAGCAAAAAGAGCTTTTACTCTTCAGCCTGCCATTAAAAAGCCTTCAAAGAATGTATACAATTTAAAATAACATCTAGTCAAATAACTCTCATTTGCCTCAAAGTTTTATTCCTGTTACAGGAAAGCAGCACTCTCCTCCAGAGTGGAAGTGTGTTTATCCCCGCAGTCAATAAGAGTGATCTCTTCATTAGAAAGAGAACCCGTAGCTCGTGACGGAGTGACATACTCGCTCTTAAATATGAATTGAGTTTCAAGCCTCCTGGAAAATTGCTCAGTCTGCACAGCAAGACCTTTGCCAGCCATTCCTTAACAGGCGCTGGTGTCTTTTTGCCCGGAGACTGCAGCTATTTGGGGAACAGAATTTGAGGCCAGTCGCAGCCCTTATTTTGCCGGCGTTTTGGGACACTGTGACTCGTCCTCCTGGGTAGCACCTCCCGTAGTCTGCCCCATGTGCACACCTTCCGTCACTAGCTTAAATTGGAAGCTGTTTTTTAATCTTGTGCCAAGTTTGCTCATGATAATACATTATCAAGAGACCTTTTTAAATCTTAAACCAGCTTCTTTGAAAAACATCTTCCCCTCCCCCCACCCCC